AGTTTTTACTTTTAAGCTAAAATTCTTTTTTTTTTTTGTTTAAAAAAGATCATCTTTTTTCCACGTATCAGAGAAGATATTTTGCTCTTCTTTGGAACTTTGGAGGAAATTTTGAAATAAAACCATGTTATCTTCAGAGATTTAAGAGAAAATTAAAAAAAAGGAGTTCTTTTAATTTTTTTCAGAAGAAGCTGATATTAAGGAAAAGCCATGAACTTAGGAGAAAGAAGTGATTTACAGTTCCTGAGAGTCTCCAAAGGAGCTCATGAGCTCAAAAAAAAGATTGATAATTGGTCCAAATCTTCGAGTTTCAAAGGGCAGAAAAATTACATTTTTGATGATCTTCTAAGAGGAGCAATGGAGTTCCAGGAATCACTGTTAATGCTTTCGAATCTTCAAAAAGCAACAGGCAGAATCTCAACGAAGAGAACAAGGCAAGGTGAAAGAGAGGAAATTGCAGAAGAAAACTCCATTGATTTCATCAGACAAAAAAGATTGCACGAACGGACACCCTCCGCTGACAGTTCCTCGACCAATCACACGCAGGAAATGAAGCAGGTGATCAGAGACAAGTTTAATAAATTCGATTATGAGAAGGTTTCTTCAACCAAAAATTCAATTTTATGGAAAAGTGAAGTTGAGTTTTCTGCGCTGGGAAAGAAGATGAAAACTCCAAATTTGATTGCAAGGCTTATGGGTTTGGAAGATTTTCCTTTAATTGAGGCTGGGAAAGAGGAGAAGGAGCTTAAGAGAAGTAGAAGTCATGTGGAGAAGAACAAAAGTTTGGATGAGATTATTGAAACCATGAGATCTACAGGTTTTCTGAAGAGTGAACAATCTGTAAGCTCTATAACAAAATCAGATATGAAAAAAGAAGCAATTTTTAGTGAGAAAGATGGCTCCCCTCCGATTGTGATAATCAGACCTCTAAATTTGCTTTTTAGAAACACTGAAGAGGAAAATCTAATTTCAGAAACGTCGGATTTGATTTTTGAAGAGAGAGTTTCTGATACTGATTGTGAGTTCCACGAAAATTTGGAACAAAGTGAAGTGGTCAGCATTGAGGAGGAGGAAATAGAACCACCACAGAAGCTTAAAATAGCTGCAGCTGCTGCTCAGAAGCAGCTGAAGAGGGATCTTGTTTTGAAGGAAAGGAAAATGATGGGTGATTTAGAGAAAATTGAAATTAATGGAAAGAAACAGATGCAGAAGAAGCAGTTGAAAGCCGAAAGAGAAACTAAGAACATGAATCCCAAAGAGGCTGAAACATTACAAGCCACAACAAGGTTTACTTCTCAGACAAATAAAACTAGGGAACAAAATATGAAGCATAAGTTTTTAATGAAGTCTGCACCATCTAATTCTATTAGTCATGTGAAGTCTGAGAAGATTTCTGCAGGAAAACCAATTAGGAAGTCAAGTAAGGTAAAGTTCTGTTTTTTTGTTCTTTTTTAAATTTATAATGAAGCCCGCCATGATGAAATTCAGTAAGTTGCTTACAAAAACTCATCTTTTTTGCAGCCTGAAGATAAAAAATCAGAAGGAAACTTTAACGGCACTCTAACTGAAAGCCGTGCAATTTCTAGAAGCAAGAGTATGTTAGCTGCTGATAGCCTCCTCAAGCAGGTGCTGAAGGAACCCGCGAAGCCTTTTAAGAAAGGTAGCCTATAAGGTGATTTACTTATTACTTATTCAAATTAAAATCCAACTGGATTACTTCTTTGGTTTATCCATGCAGGCAGGGCATCGACTAATCCAATCTTGAGCTGTGCTAGCCCCGGCTATTAGCTGACTCAATCTGATTTTGACATAAAGTTGGTTCCTTTTCAATCAAAATTCAATCTTTATAAACAAATTCTTGATCCAACATACATTTGATTCATAAAAACATTCATACAAGCATAAATAAATTGATTTGGTTAAGGTTCAACTAGCCGGGCCTAGCTAGTTACTCGGCTCATTGGCTTGAGTCCAACTAGATCCAAGCCCAAAATTGATTCAAATTATGGCTTTATATGTAGGAGCTGAGAAGTCTGCGTAAGAATTTTTCTACTCTGAAACTTGCTTTGAAACTTACAATTCTTTTTTTATCACAGATGAGATCAGAAAAAACCACGAGGTAATATGTGAAGTTATGCCAAGAAATTACAAAGATGGAAGAGGTTTAGAGATGTTTGAAGAATCCATTAGAAAATCTTACTATAAACCCCCCACCATTGCTATAAAGCATGCATTCTATCAAACAACATTCTTCGAAGAAGATGGAGTTTTCTATGACCAGCTGCTCCACAAATCCGTGAAGGGTAGAATGGTCCGAAAAAATCACGAGAACGATCTTGCAACTCATCAAATGATACGAGAAAGAGCGGCAAATCAAGCATCGTATGGATCTTTCAAACGCTTGTTGGAGGAGGACAATAATGGGATAAAGAAACTAAAAAGTTATAGCGAGTTTAATGATGCATGTTATGAAGATTGTATTGATTGTATGTTGGAGAAGGACCTTTATTGCAAAGAAACATTGTTGAATGTAATATGGGATAATTGGATTTGTGTGGAGGAAACAGACATAGTTGTCTTTGAAGTTTCTGAGAGAATTATTTTCAGGCTTCTTTTTGAAGTTGCTAAGGATTTAAGTTAAAACAATAAACTATTTGCCTTATGGTTGTTCAACTTAATTCAAGTAGAAGTGCACTTCATGATCATAATTTTGTTTGAAAATGATTGAGAATCTTCTTATCTAACAATTTACTTTTGTAAATTTCTCTGTGAAACTTACTTATGCTCTATCTAAAGTCCATTGTTTTTATCTAACAATTTTCATATATAAACTTATCTGTGAAATTTAATCATGCTCTATCTAGAGTTTATTAAATGTTTATATTTAAACTTAATTATGCTCTATCTAAAGTTCATTGTTTATATCTAATGATTTACATATATAAAAAATTTTATCTCCATTAGTCAACAAAACTGCATCACTAATATCAAAACTAAACTATTTCACAACTACACCACATCTACTAACTTATCGTTATGGTTATTATTTGCATACTATATTTTTCCTTTTAAAGCATAACAATTCATTTTTTGTATTCTTGTTTTTTACATTAAAATAACTGTAAAATAGATTAATCTCCAAAAGAAAAGAATACAATAATTTATGTGATTTGATTTAAATATGCCTACATTCATGAAAGATAGGAGATGATCCAACCTATTAATAAAATTTGACAATCATTGCGTATAATATAAGGGCACTCACTAGGCCAGATGAAGAGAGAGTAACAAAAGCAACTAATCTCCCAAGATAATTAAAAGAAAAAATATAAATGATAACAAAACAATGATAATAGAACTATTAGAAAGTTACACACGTTAGTAGCTCCTAAAAATGATATCATCAATTCATTAAGATTATACTCTGAATTTCTTAATAGGAATTGTATATTATGATTTATTTATCATTAACTTTTTATCTTATCTTAGTCGTCAATGTTTTTCAACTCTTTCACATAAATACTTAAAATTATCTTTTGCTTTTATGCATGTTATGCTTTTATACATCAGATCATATAGCAACAAAACCACTGCAAAAACAAACAAAGTTACACAAAATCAACTCTCTTTTTTCAAGCTTTCATAGAACTAGTTCGATACATAAATACTTCACACGTAATTTATGTATGAAAATTTAGATGATATCAAACAAATCATCAAAGACTTTTTCAAGCTTTCGAACAAAAATCTTAAACCCTACCACACAATTTAATTTAATTCATGCATGATTTTAGGTCAACAACTAACAATTATTTTAAAAGTTAAAGCCAAATTTTAATTGAAGTTGAATTGTTTTGTTCTATGTGGTGATAATATTTTTTCTTAACATAAGAACATAGACATGTAATCAATATTATCATTTTTTTGGTTGGAGTTGGTAACTCATTTTAGGATGACTATGGCTTACTACTTCATCATCTAAATTGTAATACTATTTTATTTGTAAAAGTAAGAATATTTTGTCTAACTAAATCTTCTAAATTGTGAGTAAGGAGTGCAAGATAACAGTTCTATAAAATAATAATATTATTTATATTACCATAATGAAGTCAATTAATCTTATAATGCTTTATAGTACTTTAACTGTTTCCATTACTATGTTATATGAGTTTGCAAAAAAAAATTGAACATAATGAAGTCAATTAATCTTATAATGCTTTATAATACTTTAACTGTTTCCATTATTTTACTATGTTATATGAGTTTGCAAAAAAAAATTGAATAAGATGTAGTACTAATTAATTGAAATAGTATATAACTATTATATTAATAAAATTAATCAAAATTATTAACATATGTATCTAAAACATGTCATAAATAAAGGAAATATTTCATTTAAATTTTAAAATCTAAATTTACATCATATAATTAGTAAATGTTTTTATTAGAAATTTTGAGGCATTAATAACTATATATATATATATATATATATATATATATAGGGGGAAAGAGCATCAGAGGCTCCCTACGTGTTAAAATTAAGAAACAGGTACAAAAGTTGGAGGGGAGGAGGATCCTCCTCATCTAAAACAGCCAAAAAATACTTTTAGCACATCCCTAGAGGTTCCTCCTCCACATTACAACTCACATGAAATGAAAACTCCAAACTTACAAGTATACTCAAGCCAAAAAACCAAAAACTCAAAATTAGTGTACATGTGCCCGTGTAGTAGAAATAACAGGAAAAGAAACAAAAGAGAATCCAAGGAAAAAAAAGAGGCAGCAGGAAACTCCTAATCCACTGGAAGCACTCCAACAAATAGCAGTGCAAACTGGGATATTGATCGACTGAGCAGAGTAGCCAAACAACACCAGACAAGTGTAAACCAAGAGATCAGGAGAGCTAGAGACACAAAGCCAGAAAGGGGTGTAATCTGAAACCTGCCAGCAAAATAAAGAAACCACAAGAGGGAGGGTGTAAAACCAAACCATAGTAAAGATACGGGAGCACCCAGCCAAAGAGCCGAGCAGCAAGTAGTTTCTAAAATCTAACATAAGGCAAATCCAGGTTATCCCCAGTAAGGAGACGTCTGAGGGGAGCAGGGGGAGATAAACCTACAGAGCATGCATCCCCTGCTTGCCTGGCTAACCAATCGGCAAGGGAGTTGCCCTCCCTATGGATGAAACTCCAACCCACTTTCATATGTCTTTTAGAAATTAAAGCAGAAATACGTTTAAGAATGCATATAATATCTCAGAGAGGAGGAGAGATACCCAACAGTATATCATAGAGCATTTTCGAATCAGTTTCCACCTCAATCGTATGAAAATTGAAAGTAATTGCCAACTTTAATGCAAGAAACCCCCCCAGCATTTCGTGGCTAAGGGGTTGTCAGTAGCAACAGGAGAAGAAAAATAACACATACACTTACCCTCAGACTTTCTAAAAATGCACCCAACCGCAACAAATAAATGGTTCCAACTGCGATCCACATTCACCTTAACCCATTCGGAAGAAGGGGGAACCCACCTGATTAAACGGGGGGGCTTGAAGTTTGAAAAATCATTGGTACAGACCTTGAGATCCTTGGTGTAATCATCAAGAGGCAGTAAAGAAGAGAAAAATCACCAGAGGAAAAAGGAGATAGAGGGAGTTAAAATTTTGTGCCCTGTTTCTTGGGGTCCAAATAAATCAAAGGACCAACAAAAAAAGGGCAAACCCTCCCCCCTTATCATCAAAAGCCTTCCATTGCCACAAATAAATACTTAGGAAGACAAGTAAGTTATTAGTATGAGGAGGATGAGAATATTTAGAGAGAGAAGGCAATCCCCAATTATCATTCCAGAAAGAGATATTACCGTCACCAATGTCCAAAAACATGAAATCACTAGCAATAGACCTAGCATTAACAACAGCTTTCCAGATCCGAGAATTCCCAACCTTCCACAAAACCTGGGAGGGGTAAGAAAAATCACAGTATTTCTGATGCATAAAAGTGGCCCATAGAGATGAGCCCATTCTAAATTTAAACCAGAGTTTGCAAAAGCTTATTTCTACCGTATGTTTCAAGGCTTTAAAACCAAAATCGCCAGCATTTTTAGGCTTACGCAACCTTTGCCAAGATCCCCAAATCTTCTTAGCACCATTCCTCACCCAAAGGAATTTATTGAAAAGCCTCTCCATGACATTAATACACTTTTCTTTGGATTAAACACCTGCAAATCATATAAAGGAATAATTTGAAGCACACTAGATAGCAATGTTATCCTGCCCCCAGTAGAAAGGAAAACATTTCTCTAATCGTTAATTTTACACTTGATTTTATCAATAACATCATCCAAAAGAATATGTTTCCTCCTTCCCCTAATCAAATTAACCCCAAGGTATTTAAGAGGGAGAGAGGCATAGTGATAACCTGTATAAGAAACCCCCCAATGAATAAGTTGCTGCTTAACCTGTTTGCCAAAATACATCTGACATTTGTCACAATTAAAAACTAGTCCAGAACAATTCTGGAAATCATTTAAGAGCCTCATTAATTGTTTTAAGGCAAGTTTAGAGGCATTAGCAAAAATAATAACATCATCTGTGTAAGCAAGGTGAGAAACCACCATTTTGGTCTTATGAGAAAACTATGTATGAGGGTGGATCAGTTGAAAATGATTGAGCATTCTAGATAAATAATCAAAGGCTAAAATGAAAATAATAGGAGAGAGAGGGTCCCCCTGTTTATTGCCTCTGCAAGCAGTGAAGAAACCATAAGAATTATCATTAACCAGCACAGAGTAATGATTGTTAGCCAACCATCTTTTAATAAACTGGAATTGAAACCTCAGGCCTTCAAAACGCTGATGATAAAATCCCAGCTAACTGTATCAATGGAGAGAGAGGGTCCCTCTATTTATTGCCTCTGCAAGCAGTGAAGAAATCATAAGAATTATCATTAACCAGCACAGAGTAATGATTGTTAGCCAACCATCTTTTAATAAACTGGAATTGAAACCTCAGGCCTTCAAAACGCTGATGATAAAATCCCAGCTAACTGTATCAAAGGTCTTCTTGATATCTAATTTGATAACTAGATTGTCACCCCTGCATTTTTTATCAGTGCATTTTTTATCAAGATCTCGTAAAATTTCCTATACATTTATACATACATACATACATACATACATACATACATATATCTATACATACATACATACATATATATATACATGAATATTTTTTAAAGTATTTTACCTTTGAATTAATTAGAATCTTTTGTAATGTGTATTCACTTTTTTTGGCCCCTGTTTGAATTGAGAAAAGCCAATGCTAAGTTAAGAAGATATTTAGAGAATCTTTCTTGCATTTAAATAGATAAATTATGAAGCTATTTTGGGCTACAAATGCACAACTAAAGCCCAAAAAAAATGCTAATAAATTTATAAAATATCATAGCATACTTGTAAGATCATTTCAAAAAAAATTTCAAGGGTTTATTTTCTTAATATCCATTCTTTAAATATAATATTTTCAAAATTTCATATAATGATAATATCTAACATTTCAATCTATAGGTTCATGCACATTAATTTAAGTGTATATTTTTTAAATAATTATTTTTTTTGTTGATTTTTTTCTTCATTTTCAATCAAAATTTGTAAGTACTTTAGATAAAAAATTTATTTTACTTTATAAAGTGGGTATCTAAGCCTCTTAAAAGTTAGGAGATTAGAGTTGTGTTTTTCTAAATGTAAGAGAGAATATCAAGTTGCATTAACCAAAAAATTTCTATGTTTATTTTCTCGTGTTACAGAGAATGTTTGCAAAAAAAACTCTAATTAGCGGAAATAATAGTTTATTTTGGCCAAGAATAGACGTAAGGCTTGCATCTGGCCAACCACATAAACATATCATTAGCTCAAGCTCCATAGCTTAATTTATTTTTCTTACACATTTAATTAATTCTTGGAATAAATTCATGAGCTATCATAATAATTTATGTTGTTATGTTATGTGGGGAAAATCATTTTGCATGTGCTTAAATTCATAGTACTACTTTCTCACAAATAAATTTTTTATGCTTTTTATATCTTGTTTTACACGGCAATAACATAGATATTATTATATTAAATTGGAATAGCTTGTGTTTTTTAATTTCATCATTTTTAACTAATTTTACATTCAAGTATGGAAATTAATCATTCATTAAAAAATTGTTGGGTGTGTTTTGATTTGTAATTTTAATTGAAAAAAAAATTATTTAACTTTCATTAGCATCATTTATGAAAATCATAAAATATTTAAAATATAATACTTTACAAAGTGTCCATTCATTTCCATTTTTTTTCGTGACATTTAACTATCAAAGTGTGTATAGACATAAATATGTATAAAAATATAATAAAGTTGAAAAAATCATTTTTTATTTCTTTTCATGATAAATTAAATTAAAAATCTTTCTAAAAGAATAATTTTTTTTAAAAAAAGGCCTTAACTTTAAAATCATCCTCACTTATTATTTTAGAGATTTAAAGGAAACCTTTTTTTTTCATTATGATTTAATAATATTTTGTAACTATATATTCTTATGCAATGCATAAGATGACAAATTTTTCAAAAAGATGATGTGTTATATAATAATTTCTTTTAAAAAGTAATATTCAATACTTTTTTTTTTTAAAGGATTATTTCTTATGGTCTCAATAATTCAACCTCAAATGAATCAAATTGCAAATCCAACTTAAGCTTAAAAATTATTCAAAGTAAATGAATCAAATTTTATGTTGAGCCAAGTTTTTTCATAGGCTATATCAATTAACATTTTGAGCGATTATTAATTTTTTAGTCTTATTTATGGGTATAAAATTAAATCATTAATGTATTTTTTAATTAATAATAAATAAAGTTTTGGTTAATATTATAATATCTAATAATTTTTAAATTATAATATCTACACATATATTAGTAATTAAATTAATATTTATGTTATATTAGATAAATTTTATAAATAAAAATGCTCATATTGAAATTGTGCACTCAACATATATTTGCCCTTAAATTTGATAGGCAAGTTCTTTCTTCATCCATTGAATGTTTAAAGGTAAATTTAAAATGTATTAGAATCTTATAATAACTAGAAGTTAAAAGTTAGTTTCAAATTAACTCTTCAATACTAATTGATGATTAAAATGTAATATTATATATTAAATCCTTTAATATATAATTTTAACAAAAGTATAAATTAGATGGATTGGATGGATGTGACTTTTCTCCTTCATGCTTATTAACAAGAAAAGAAAGAAAAAAAATCCAACATTTTGAGAAAAACTTGATTCAAAATGGAGCTTAGAATCTTGAAGATTTGAATTAAGTTTTGTCCATCATTGCAACATACTATATATATATATATATATATTTGTGGTTTGTTGGTAGAGCAAACTCTCTGAAGATCGTAAGTTCTCTCAGGTCACGTCTCAGGTCACGAGTTCGAATCCTCGGGGGGTGAAATGTCGCCTTAAGTCTGGTGGTACTTGAATGGTTTAATGAAGTCTGCAATCTGCATTAAAGGGAGAGGGAGAGGGGAGAGAGGGAGTGAAGGATACACAAATGGCTAAAAACTATAACAATAGATTAAATGAGGCAGGCCCAACCATATTATGTTTGTTGATCATCATACACATCACACACCTAAATTTTAATATTTATATATGCATAGTATTTAAATCTTTAGCATTATAATAAAAATATCACTAATACTAATTTAAAAAACACACATTTGAATGAATATATCTTAAATGTTTTTATGATATTAGAACACAAATAAAAATCAATTTTTTTTTTTGTGTTAAAGCGTGCATATAATTATTAACTGTAGCATATATGTAAACAAAAAAATTTTAATGGCCAAAGGCCCCTATCTCACTACTATCACAGAAACGCTTAATCTCATTGCCACAGAAACGCTTAATCTCATTGCCAACTATCTGATTAACATTTATTTTCTTAAAGCAAAACATCACATATTGAGTTATACAACTCTCAAGTCTTAAACACAATAATTCTCCAAGAATAATGTAAGTTTTACAATAACAAGCACAACTAGCCAATGCCAAGTAACAATATAATCTTATGGGTTGATAGCTCCATTTCTTTCATTCCATTGATTGTTTCACAACACAATTCAAACTTCAGGGCATATCAACAGAAACTCACAAATTGGATTTTTTTTTTTTTTTTTTTTTTTTTTTTTGAGTAATCAGTTGAAGCTCATGCGCGATCGACTGAAATCCCATCCCTGCTGTAAATTTGATGCTTAAGTTTGGTGAAGCTACATGAAGTCTTCTTCAAGCTCTTGCAGGGATTTATTGGTGGATGCAATTTGCTTGTTGGAAGTCATCTTCTCAGAAACCATGAGTCCTTTGTAGCTCCTCAGTTCTGTCTGCCTCTCCTTTTCAAGCCTTTCCATTTCTTCTCGGCGCTTCTATAAGATTTAAGACACAAAACTTGTTAAAATAGATCATGGAGATTAAGGCTTGCAAGTATTTCAGATTTCATTTAATCAGGCAGTTCAGAAAAAAAAAATCACCTTTTCTCTTAATAGCTGCTTCTTTTCAGCTCTTTCTGCTGCATTGACAGCTTCACGCTCAGCTGTCAAGGAAACAATAAAGAAGTTTTTATGTTGGAAAATTTACATGCATACCACTCAATTCTTATGTATTTACATATCTAATACCTAAACTTCCATTTTTATTTCATTTTTTAAAAGTTAAAAAGATGGTATTTTCTATGTGATATAAAAGATTTGGGTGGTGTAAATGTAAAAAGTAACATTTAGGTGTTTGATATGTGATTACATAGGAATTGGGTGGTAAATGCTGCTTAGCGGATCTGTATAATGTTATTGACCATGAATTAAAACAAAAAAATTATGCAAAACATTCATTTAAGGAGGAAAGACATGGAAGTATTATCATATTTGTCTTGACAATACATACTGATCAACAATGAAGAAAAACCTCTTTCAAAAAAAAAACAATAAAGAAAAACCATGCTATAGACAAGCGAAGAGTTAAGGTGGTAGGGTGGAAGGAGAGAAAGGTAGAAGAGTAATGTAGTAGTGCTGCTTTTATTTCAATGCATTTAAAAAGTTTTTAATTCTTCCCATACTCATTATTGTGGAATTTCTTGGTATTGGATGTGCCAACACTGTATCCTTCATGGTATGGTGGTGGATGGAGGAGAATTGTTAATTCAATGTAGTGATGATGCGATTATGGACTCTGGTAATTTAATTCGATGAAAAATCAAAATTTTAGCCATTCAATGCTAATATTGGCTAATAAAAATGCATAGGGGCATTTACATATATACCACACAATTCTAATATATTTACATATCTAAAACCTAAACTTCCATATTTACTTACAGAACACTCAAATCATTGACATCACATCAAAAATACTATTATCACTAGCATTTTAAAAGTAAAATACTCCTTTTCATGTATAGTTTTTTAATAACAAGGTGTTATAAATGTAGATTATTTTAGGCAATTTACAGTTTGAACTTATTTTCCAATCATGCAACATCAAATAGGCAATATAAAGAATATTGATACAACTATTCGATATTCCAACAATGCTGTTATGAGCGGACTGCGAGATTTGTTGAAGACTTCCATTAATTATGGGGGACAAAAAAGAAAGAATGAAAAAAATACATTGTTGGGCTATTTAAATTCCTTATTTTGTATAGATGAGTAATTTCTTAGATCATCACAATTCATTTGCAAATGTTCTTTCCCTTCAATCACAATACAATTTCCTATAGGATGAGTATGAACCTATGGTTGTGTGTAACAGATAGGCCTGATTTTATATCAATTATATCTACTAACAAAGGAATGATAACTTTATAAAAAGATATTGTTAGGCAAGTAATTTAGTAATTTTGATTGAATACAAATTTTGCCCAAGTTTCAATCATGTGTGTGCCGTTGAAAAGTGACTCCTGCGAGTGCGCTTGTACAAGTGCTCCTACCATATTCGAGGAAAATTATTTCTTTTTACAAATATGAAACACCAATTTCTTATTGTGATAAATTTTTCTCTCAATTATTTCACACATTTTATTATTGGCTCGCAAGTGCATTTTGCTAAAAATTGGACTCAGTTGGAGTTAAATTATAATTGCGTGCTAATTTTACATGGAAAAATTTTAATTATTAGTTTCTTTGAATGTATTCAATTATTACATTATTGTCCAAGTTTTAATTCTTATATTTATTACTTGTGTTTAAAGAAAGTTTGTTGGTTCAATTAGTACTCATGATCTATGAATAGGAGAGTTCCCTTGCATGATTTACATATATAGCATCATACTAAACTGCATTATGAAATACTAAATCATATCACTCATAAACAGGGCTGATAATCAAAACAGCTTAACAAATCATGAACTAGATGAGATTTCACACACTTAAGCATGACAATTGAATATGTTCCTAAATAAGCAAAATTAAATATGTACCAAAATTAATTTGGTTCAAGCTAATAAGCAAAATTAAATATGTAACAAAATTAATTTGGTTCAAGCTAAAATTGATGGTTTGGTCACATTAAATGTCGACTATCTAATGATCTGCTTAGCAAAGTAGATGTTTTAGATTTGACTTAGGTTAAGAAAGGCAGAGGAAGACCTAAAAAGACTTGAGCATATTGTATAAAAAATGATATTAATTTATTAGAAAAAATTTAAAATATGACACTCAATAGAATTCAATGAAGAAAAAACATTCATGTAGCCTAGCCCACTAAGCAGGATAAAGTCTTGTTGTCATTGTCGTGCTGTAAAATTGATAATTTGGAAGTTAATCAAACTCATGCACATCAACCTGGAGTGGATTCCAATCATAATAATGAACCCGTTCAATTGAATGTCAATGCTTGTGGAACATTAAAATTTTTCAAAATTGATAATTTGAGGTGTTTAACAATGATGTTCATGTCATCATCTAAATAAAAATTACCATATTGATGATGACTACGTTAAAAATTGACCCTATGCTTTCACTGATTGAGTGTTGGATTTAGTCAAGTTTTTTTTCTAAATAACAAAACCAAACTCTAGTGAGCGTCCCATGAGCTTCAAGAAAAAAATAATAATTGAATGAGCATGGAAAGACTACATATACAGAGACAGAGAGAGAGAGAGAGAGAAGGGAGCCTGCTACCACCTAGGTTAGAATTAAGAAAAATAAGATGGTACTTACATTTTCCATATCATGATGATTGATGAACATAAATCATTAACAATGGAGACCAAAATTAATACCACTTAACGCAATAAATTTTAAGAATTATTATGGCACATTCTATCATTAATGAGATCCTGGAACCACCCTTTAGATTTATGTATGACTCAAGACCTGATATTTAGCAAGAAATGACATCTCACCACATTCCATCATTTGAGCATGCTGTTCAGCTTATAATAAATTTTGAGTATAAATTTCATGTGCTTCATAGAGTTAGTAAATATTCAGGCAATGCATCATTTTGTCAAAACAATCAAAAGCTCAAACTATTATAGCTACTACATCTGAAGGTAATAGCACTACATTTAACAAGGGTAGCAAGAGAAATCATTTGCTTCTTCGTTTGAAAGATTCCAACCAATGTATGCTTTTAAGTGCCATCAAATTGGTCATTACGCCAATGAGCATCCTAGCTGGAATTGGCACATAAATATACAGGACAAAGAATATAGAATCATTGATTCTTATGATGCAGAGGTTACTGAAAAAAATAATTATTATGAGACTGTTTTAGTTGATAATTCTTTAAATGTCATAAGTTGCATAGCTCCCTTTATAATTGAATCTAATTGGAAAAAGGATGGCAATTTTTCAAATCTATATAAAAAAATAAGTAAATTTGTATACTCATAATTGATAGTAAGAGTTACATGGATGTTATATCCAAAGTTATCCAAGGCTGCATGAATTTGAAACTTGAATCACATCCACTATCGTACAAAGTAATATTGGTAGATAAAATTATTTTTTACAAGTACATAGCTACATATACTGATAAAATTTGTGTAATGTGCTTCCCATGGATGTTACTGATTTTAGTTTGGATGGATCATAATTATACAATTTAGATGCTACTCATTTTTTTGGTAAGTCTAATATGGAGAAGACTAGCTTTGATGCATAAAAGCCGAAGAGTAAATTCGAATCTATAGAAGAATCTAGTGTTCCCAATGAAGTGAAAAAGATTTTAAATATCCTACATAAACACGCACTTGAGAAAAAAGAGTTGGGATGAAGTTGTAATCTATGCCTTAATAGTTGTTGAGTTAAATAATGTCGCATCGAAGTTAGAATTTTACTGGATTATACTACCAAGTATTGGTTGATTTTAAATATATTTGTCCAATACAGATTTCTAATGAATCATCACAATTAAAAGATATATAGCATCTTTGTGATTTAATTCTCGTATCATCATTAAAATATTTTGCCATGATATAGGATGAATCTAATAGAACATGCTACATTTAAGAGATAAATTGATGAGTTACTTAATAAGGTGTTGGAAGTACGAATATCGAATAAATGATCTCCTATATCTCATTTGAATGTTATACTACATATGATGAATGATGTCATGATATTTTCTTAAGATTAATAAGAGAAGTTATTATCATTAGATTAAATGAAGGAAGATGATATATCAAGATTTGCCTTTAATAAAAAATATGAAATATTTGAATATTTCGTGATATATTTTAGATTAGCTATTAAGATTCTTACCCGAGGTAGTTTTGAATATATATTCAAAAGAAAATTTTTGAAATGACATAGAATTAATACAAATGATACCTCTTGAAGAAAGAATTTTTATTGAATGAGATTTAAATGGACATGTTAGAAAAAATTCACAGTGACTATGATTTTAGAGTGACTACTGAAAAAGGTAGTCATATTAAATTTTATTTTAGCTTATTATTTTGTTATTGTTGATATTACATTTGAGAAAAAAGATGAACATATTATCACTTATAAAAATAGATCAAATAAACATAAATTGATTATTTTTTGTGAAAAAAAAAATCATGTTAGATTTTGTTTTAGCTTGTGATTTTGTTATTGCTAATATTTTATTTAAAAAAAGAGATGAGCATATTATCACTTCTAAGAATAGATCTAATAAAACGCATTGATTGTTTTTATGAAAAAAAAAATATCGTCGAGATTATAAGATCATTCCAAGTGAAAATTCTAAGAATAGATCTAATAAAACACATTGATTGTTTTTATGAAAAAAAAAAGATCGTCGAGATTATAAGATCATTCCAAGTGAAAATTTAAAAACCCACATCAATCATTAATTTTGAATTTTAAGATGAAGGATTGAAAAATAAAGAGGAGTTTTTATATATGTAGCACTCCAAACATAGCTATTTACCCATTTCACAAACAAAACTTAAATTATAAATATTTAACACCCTTAAAAAGACACCTTTAGCCTAGATCTCTTCTTTGTTTCCGCACCCTTTCAACAAAGCATAGAAAATCTTTCTAGGCATGGGAACTCCATTCTTCTGCACACAAATTCTCCTTCTCCATCTATTATTTTTTG